TCATTATAAATTTTTTAGAAATTAGAATTAAATTTTTGAAATTTATCTATTAAATTTTATTTTTTTAATGCAATACAGTGAATACTTCTTTTGAAATAATACAAAAATAAAACAAAAAAAAAATTTTGACAAAAATCCAAATATTATTTTGATATAATAAAATGTATAGAAAATTCTTTGCTTCTTTTTTTTCTCACCAATTCTATCAGTGAAGAAAAAATAATTCGAAAAAAAAAAGAAAGTATTTGTCAGTTAATAGTAAATGAGCAAATGGATTGCGTGCAAAAATGCTACCACAAACCAGAAATTCAATAATGAAGAGAGAAACGCTGACGATAACGATGAGAAGATGATGATAACCCGTTTAACCCATCTTTCTTTTCTCATTCGATCAACTCAATTCTATGTGAATGATAATGATGATGATAGTGATGATGATGATAAGAATGATAATGATGCTGGTAATTAGTGATGATTTCCACTATAAACGGCCAAATTTTATCGCAGCATTTTTTTTTTGTATTGCATGCAATAACTGTATCGAGAAATATGCAAGGAAGTGCAACTTGTAATGATTGATGATGTATTTGACATAAATTAGAAGACATTTTGTGATTCTTTTACACTTGACATAAATAAACGCGTAAAATGTTCATGGTAAAAATTGTCAACGGTTACAAAAATTAACTTATAAATAGAATTTTCTTCCATCGAGAAATTCAAATATTGCAGTATTGTACAGATGTGCTAAGCAACTTGTTGCACAGTTTCTCGAATTAATTCATCTATTCATTATGCAATTAATCATCTATTACTATCATCTGATTTTTATTTTTGATAAAGTTTCAGAGTTATAAGCATGAAAATTGAAAGGTTACATTAAAAAATATATATTTTTTTCCATCCTATTTAGTTACATTATTTTGTCACTATACTTTTTTCATCAGTTTTTTTTTTCAAGCCAAAAGTGATCGGTTTATTATATATGTTGTACTAATTCATTTCTGCGCCTTCACAGTTCCTCAATTGAATTAAAACAAATTTTATGAACTAATGGATCGAAATAATTGAAATTAATTTTCATTGTTGCACGTCTTCAATTCATCTTAACTATCACATATCAAACCTTACATTTTATTTCAATTTAAGAGTTTTCCAACTGCCTTTTTTCCACTTCTCTTCTCTAGCCAATTTGCTAAATAAATTCAAATGCATATTCGAAGAAATGATTCAATCAAAATCTACCTACAGATTTAATAAATCTACATATTGAAGAGATTAAACAATTAATTTAATAAATATATCTTTAAGAAATCAATTCCAACCATTTTGCAAAATGTCGTTGTTATTGCAACTGATCGTAATTGTTTATTTCCTGATTTATTTTAGTGGCTGGTTTTTGTTAGCATGAATTAAAATATTGCTAAGTATCGCATTATATCGCATTATTCTTATAATACATTTCCATTCATTATTCATGGTTTTATAAATTCTTTAATTCAAAAAATTCTTTTTTTAAATCTTGTTAATTTACTAAAGGAAAAATTGATTTTACCCATTTACATTCTCACTTTCACGATAACAGAAAAAAATTGATGTATTAATTTTAAATAAAATTATTGGAAATCACTTAATATATTAATGGCTCGCTAATATGATATTATAATTCCCATTTAATAAACATTGATATATACATACAAATCTTTAAAATTACAAACTTCGTACTTTTTAAGGGACAAACATTATTTACATCGAAAGCCGCTCTCAGCAATGATCAAGAAAGTTTCATTTCAATTATGCAATTTACTCTAATTCGATATGCAATTCAATTTCTTTCAAAAAGTTAACAATTCCAAAATTTACGTACAATTTCATTTAATATTGAACAAAAAGCTAACAGATAAGAAGCAATATACATTTTGTATGATATTAAGCTAACATTACGCAAAAATAATGATGAATTTTATTTCATTTAAAGAAATGCTTTCTAGGTTAAGTGGTGATTAACTTGAAATTAACTAATTAACCCGAGAATTAATTTAATGGAGATAATTAGTTTATGACATTTTTTTAGCTTGAAAATGGAAAATTTGTAAAATTGATAAACAAAATGATAAATTAAACTAAATACAGTATGTGTAGAAATTAATGCAAATTAAGAGAGATGATGTAAAAGATTGCAAAAAATGTAAAATGCAAATGATAATATTTTTGTATCGTACTAATATTTTTTTCTTTTTTTTTGACTATTCCTTTCTACTTGTTTATCTCAATTCTGCACAATTATTCTTTGCATATTTTTTAATTTTCAATAAATTAAAGAATAGTTGTGAGATGATTTTTTTGGAATTCGAATTTCCAAAAAAAAAAAAAAAAATTTTTTTTCTCTCTAATGAATGTTGTTATTTAACTGATGAAATTCAACTTAGAATGATCAATTATCTTGCAGTGCGGCTTTTTTTTAAAATATATTTTTATCTTTCATCATTTAAGTATTTTCCTATTAAAATTTCCTCATTTAAAAAAGAAATTATTAAAAGGCACACAAAAATTATGATGAATTTTTTACTGGCAGATTAAAATAGTCAATTCTTCCTATGTTGCGCTGATTGCGGACTATTTGAAGAGAAAAGCGATGTAAATTTGTTCCTCTTTTTTTTTACTTATTTAAAAATTCAAAATTACGGTAACATACACGAGGATAATTCCCGTTTTTAAAATCTTCCAATTACTAATGATGTGATTTTAAAATCTTTCAATTAATAACGATAATATTTCTATTTTTTTTTTCAGGGAAAATACGCGCATACAAAACTAAAATTCAATATTCCAACATTACAGTGTTTGCGTATTGTTTCGTAATAAAACAAGATAATGGTTTTTTTTTTTTGTTTATAGTTTTTTGAATTTTCTTCTGATAGATTATTATCATAAATAAAATGGCCAGTGATAACAATTTTAAATAGGAGTGCAAAATTAATAAGGCTGTCACAATAGCTAGAAATGATAGATTTCAGGAAGAGATATAATTTGAAATGACAATGTAATGAATGATTAATTCGAATTAATTGCTCAAAAATGAATAGAGAGAAAGATTAAATTTCGACTTGCTTTATTGAATTGAAAATTTTATACATATTAAATTACAGGTCAATTTGAATTACTGCTCATTTTCTTATTGACCATAAAAATAAATTTGCAAATGATAACTGTTTTATCAATTTTCTTTCAATAGTATTATCATAAATCAATCAAAAGTTGTATTTGAAGAAGAAATAACAGCGATTTATTGCTGCACCTCCACTACCGATAAGCCATGTAATATTATAAGTGAGAAATATTGTATAGGAAAACTGATATATATATATATATTATACCAAAAAAATTTTACAGGTCAATTTGAATTAGTGTTCATTTTTTTATTAACCATAAAAATAAACTTTGCAAATGAGAATTCTTTTATCAATTTTCTTTCAATAATAAATTATCACGTGTACATTTACAATTATCATTTATACATTATTAACAACTGCGCCATTTAGCCATTCGTTATTATTTGTATGGAATTTCGTCATATGTAATGTATTTTTAATGTAGGAAAGTTCTTACAAAAGTTAACATCATTTTTTGCAGACGTGAGAAATATTGCTTATCATTAGACGGTAAACGTGACATGTGCTTCCTGGGAGAAATCACAAATTGATTTGCTGCTATATCATCAATCTGAAGAATCGAAAGGTTGAAGATGGATGTGCTCTATCGTTGATGAGAAGGTTTCAACATCACACACTTACCAGTATTTGACTTGTTTTCTGCATTTAATTGCTTGAATGCCATTACCAGTTATGTTGAAAAAGAAATTGAAAGAGTGAAATTAAAATTTAAAGGAATGAAGGTTATTGTTGAATTTTTAAAGGCTAACTTATACCATGAAGGAAATATTACTTGAAGATTTGCTTAATCAAAGAATTGCATGATCTGATGGTACCACTTGAATTCTGGCACTGGATTTTTCATAAAAAATAATCCATCTTAAAAACCACATATATTCCATTCAATATTTCTCGGTAATTACAACAAAATACGAGATCCAAATCAAAAAATGAAAACAAATTCAACATTTTGCTTAGAAAGTGAAAATTTCTAAAGAACTAATACTCTAGGCTTAAAATACTAACTGCTATGAAGATGAAGACGATGAATGAAATTAAAATCGAGATCTTTGAGAATTAAAAAAAAAATATTTGTGGAGCATTAACTCCAAAAATTTTTTTGCCTTCACATTTTCAGGATATAATATGTGCAAAGCACATTTTAATCTCTTCTATCACAACACGATCCGCAATTTCGGAAGTCTACATGTCTCGTTAAATCTGACTTGCATGAAAAGGAAAAACTTGTTGTATTTTTAATTAAAGAATATTCCATAAAACCGATATTAATGACTTGATAAAAGTTACAAAATGATATCTATTACACAGATAAGCGAATGATTTAATTGCTGCATACATAATGTCTCAAGACCAAAGTATTTAATTTAGCTATCTAATTTGCAGTAATAATCCACAAATAAAACGCTGGTACTCGATCTGATCCTTCACAAGATAGTCTCCAAAAATTTATTCTTTGATAAAAATTTTAAATAATATTTTTATGATTTAATGATTACTGAAATATTCCAGTACAAAATAAATGGTTCAGCAGTAAAAAAAAGAGAAATACGTCCAATAGAACAGAATATAAGCTTCTCAAAAAGTATTTAACAATCATTTAGGATTAGAAAGGATCCCTAAAAGATAAAAACACAGCTCAGAATGACGAAACAAACCGATAAAAAAGTTTATTAAGATAACATGTGAGGGAAAATAACTTTGTAGTTTGAAGGAAGGAAAACAAGCTTGCAAATTTGAAATTTCCCATCCAAAGAAGAATGCATGCATCACTGTCCTACCAGCATTCAGAGCAAATGTTATTGTGACAAACATTTCAATTTCAAATCTTCAAATATCTGAAATTTCTTTTTTCACTTCCATTGGTGCCATAAAATGAATCTCTGGAATTTGTCCTTCGTAAAGGCATCCTTCGGAATATACTGGTGCTACATTATTGATAGGACGATTGTAAAAACCTCCTAAAAAGTATGTTGAGTTAAAAACAAGCAGAAATTTTTTAATGCAAAATAAGAGAGACAAACATAAATTTATCCGAAACAGGTGGATCATACCGATAGCATCAGTGTACACAGCAGGGCCACGTGTCATACCTCGACGTATACCATTTGGATCATCGTTATGAAAAGCGAACACTGCCACGGAAGACTGGTCAACTGCTGGAGTGGTACCAGTATAGTTTTGTTCAACTGCGCCACCGGATCCAACATAAACAAGGATATCTTCTTGACCATTGCCTCCAGCAAATGTTTCAACTTCTTCCTAACAACAATGTTTTTACATTATTTTAAATAATAGACACTGCCGATTTTAATCAAATCATTATCATGCAAATAAACGAATCTCAAACAAGTCGATATCAATCCATCTAATCGCAACTACAAATTTTTGATTTCTGCATCTTGAAAAAATAAATTAGTAATGAAAGAACCAAACCTTGAATATCACCGTTGCTCTATACGGTACATTTGCTACAACTCGTGCAGGTTTTTTAAAATGTGCAATGAATGCGCGTCCATCGCCATATGTACCTTTTAGCGTTGCAGATGCAAAATCAGTTGCCTTTGTTTGACCAGAAGCTGCCACCTACCAAATATTCATATTTCTAGGGAAAACAAAGACAAATTTAAAATTCTAAAAAATGCAAACTACAAAGGTAGCTTCTCCGCATGCTTTAGCAGCAAAAAGACCTGCTTAAAAGTAATAAAATTTGATCCAAATACGCTTGTCAAAATGATATATTTTCGTTACTTCATATCGTGCCATAAAAATCAGAATGGAATGAAGACCATAATTGAGATCTGCGTAAAAATAACTGCCCGATTTCTTTTCGAAATAACTTTTTTAGAAACTTACGAAAGGATTCCTATATCACAGTGACAGCAATTTTTTACATAACATAAAATGGAACACAGCGACTGGCATTAAAATATAGGTGGATGTTAAAATGTATGACGCTGTTTCGCAAATAGGTTGCTTAGAAATCCACAGTTTTCAATTATTGAAAGCATTTCATATAGTTGATAAACTTTTTTTCTTTGGAGATGAGGATGCACACACTCTCTTTAGCTGATGCCATTTGAATGCAAACCAGACATCACTCAAAAGATTTTCTCAAATCCAGATTAAAATTGCGATAGCAAACGTCTAAACTATCTAGCACTGACAACACTCACAACAGGCTAGATGCTTTACCAATGCAAAAGATATTCTATAAATCCGGGAAATTTTTGGAAATTCTTTGATTATAATTGTCATTAATAAATATAATAATAAAATAAACTGATTGTTTGATTGGAATATTATATATATACATATATAAACCTCAACATCAACGGTCGTTTCCCATTCGCTGCCCTCAGCATTCGTATCATTCTGTACTAAGCCATAGATACCAAGCGCTGTCACCAGTATTTCGCGATTCACAATGAACCTTGAATTTTTATAAAACAAGCACTTTTTAATATGTATATATATTACTATATTATTATTATTATTATTATTGTTATTATTATAATTGTCATGACTGTTATTATTAACATTGATATTATTGTCATTATCATTATTATTATTATAACTAATATTATTATTTAATACTATTATTATTGTTATTATTATTATTATAAATATTTTTTGCACCCTTTTCGCGAGAAGCAGTGCTTCAAATTTACAAAAAAATATCTGATAATTTTTTACATCCTTTCAATCGTTGAAAGTAGTAACCCATTCGTCACCTTCTGTAGCATACATGTAACATACATTTTACATCA